TCCTGAACGTCACCACGTCGGCAGAGACTTTTGCCATACAAGGTAACTTGCACAGGTTTGGGGGATTAAGACACAGATGTGTCTGGGAGGCATCCTTTAGCCCACCACAGTCACCAACCAGCTACTGGACACACACCCCAGACGACTCAGAAGGACCTCACCCTGCCATGATCACAGCTGAGTGCCTCATTTTACCCCAAGCCTGATCCTGCTGGCTTCTCCTTTCAGGTAATGGACTCCCCATCTACCCAGCCCCAAAACTGTGGGGTCAGCACTTAGCTCCCCTCTTTCTCTCTCCCCCACCACTGACCCACCACCAGCAAGTCTTGTTGGGTTTACCTTCAAAATCTATCCAAAATCTGAGCACTTCTCGGCACCCCCACGTCCAGCACCATGGTGCAAGCCCCTAGCCCTCCCTCCCGATTCCTGCCACAGCCTCCTCCTTGGGTACCTGCCTCCCACGATGTTCGAAATGCCGCAGCCAGAGGGACCCTGAGACACAAGTCACAAACCCCGCAGTGACTGCTGTGTCACTCAGAGCTAACACAAAAGTCTTTACAAAGGTTCTGCAAGTTCTAATCATGATTGCTTTCCATTATCAGTTCCTACCCTCTCTCCCCTTCCCCTTCTTCTCCTGCCACTAGAGCCTCCTCCCTGTTCTGCACACAAGCCAGGCCGGCTCCCACCTGGGAGTACTTGTTCCCTCGGCCTTCAACACTCTCCCCATGTAGCCACAGGTCTCCTTTACCTCCACCAGGTCTTTACCTAAAAGTCACCTTTTCAGTAGGGCACCCCTACCCTTCACATCTCCTCTCCCCTCTTCCCTGACGTTCTTCTACTTGACATTATCACCAACACAATACATGCCTTGCTTACCCATCTTGTTGAATGTTAGCTCCATGACGACAAGCCTCCCGGGTCCAGTCTCCCACAACTAGTAGGTTCTCAATAAATAATCATCCATTCATTCACTCCACAGATAAGGACAGGACCAAGACACTGAGGAGGTACTGGGACCCCACGGTGAACGAGACACAGCCCCTGACAAGGCCCATCCGGAGTGTTTAAGCACAGTGGCAGAGAAGCCCAGAGTGTCATGGGGGTTCACAGTAAGGAGGGACCAACTCAGCCCAGGGGATTGGGGAAGGCTGTGCGTGGGAGGGCTCTGCAGGATAAGTAGGAGTTTACTGACTGGATGAGGAGAGAGTTTATACCTGGCAGAGGAGCAGCACGTACAGAAACAGGGAACAAAATAATAAGACCAGAATAATAAGGGGCAGGAGTTGGAAATTCCCCCAAACTGTGGCCCCAGCCAGGGAGGCTTGAGCTTGCCATGTCATCATGGAGCCCCTGGTATGCCCAGGACTGCTCCAAGGGAGGAGACCTTGGGAGAAATCAAAGCCAACGAATTGCAACAAATGCCAGATCGTGCCGCTTCACTGTAGCCAGGGACAGGAGAGCGGGGATGGCCCCCTGTGGACCAAATTGTGTCCCCCAAAATTTCTATGCTGAATCGCTAACCCCTCACTAAGACTAAAATTATTTGGAGTAAGGAAATAATCAAAGTTAGATAAGGTCACGCGAGTCAAGTCCTACTGTGATAGGATTAGCATCCTATGAATACTGACAGCAGAAAATCTCTTCATCCCTGTCTTCCTCTGTCATGTGAGCACACAAGAAAGCAGACATCTGCAAGCCCGAAAGGGGGCTCCTCAGAATCTAACAGTGCTGGCGCCCTCATCTCAGACCTCCAGCCTCCAGAGCTGCGAGAAAATTACCATCTGTTGTTTAAGCCACTCGGTCTATAGTACCTTGTTAGAGCAGCCAAGCAGGTTAAGGCAGTGGTGAAGTCAAGGGGAACTTCCTGGAGGAGACATGATTTGGGGTTTTCCTACGGCTCAGAGACAGGCCAGATTCTTGCCAGCTGGAACTGTGGCCACACACCGAACCCCAGCCAAGGCTTATCCTTCACTAAGCCTGAAAAGCCTCTGCAGTTTCTTTGGAATTTAATTCCTCTGCTGAGGACTACAGGGACAGGTATGGGACTGAAGGAACTTCGCATCTTCCAACAGCCAGACTCTCAGAGATGGGGGTAGGAGGCTGGGCTTCTGTGGCTCCTGAGCCCAGGATCCCAGGTTCCCTTTCTGCACCCATGAAAGGTAACCCAGTCTGGCCCAATCCAGCCAGGAGTCAGCCTGCTAAGGCTTCCCCCTCCCCATGTTCTCACCCCTAAGGGGGCTGCCTGCAAATGGAGACCTGGGCTGGGCTCTGAATGACAGAAATGATTAGGATATACAGAGAGAGAGCAGGTCTATAAATAAATATACATTTTTATAAGATATGTTTAATTAAAGTGGATTAAAATTAATTTGCTTTGAGAAAATGAGAAGTGTCCTGGAGGATTTCAGAAGCAGGGCAGGAGTCCCTGAATCTAAAGGTCCGTAGAAGGGCCTGGGAAGAGGGTGAAGGGGGGCATCCCACTCCCTGAACGTGGGCGGCGTCCTCAGAAGGAGGTGGGTCACATTTACACGGCACTCTACACCACAGGTGGGTTCACTGGGGATGGCAGGTATGTTTAGACCCACTTTCCCGGGGGGATCTAAAGCCCAGAAAGGGTAGTGTTGTGCCACTAGTTGCACAGCACGCCCGTGGTAGGGCTCGGGAGGAAGCTACCCATCTTTCTGCCAACCCTGAGCATTTCATTCATGTTCAGCACACCCAAAGTCCCTTACCCTCTGTGCCCCTGGCCTGAGCCACGGCCCACCCCCCTTTCCTTTTGTCGGCAGGGTGGGGCCTCTTACTCAGTGGCAATCTGGCTCCACCAGGAAGGTGGAGGGAAGCAGCCCGGGGGGGTTGGGGACAGGAGGCAGAAAAGGAGAGGACCCGAAATCAACAAGCATTCCAGAATTTGAAGCAGTTTTTGGAGGAAAATGAGGCACAGGTTCAGCTGTAGCAATTTGCTCCAGGGGAAAATTATGTTCCCATGCTCTATTATACAGAACAGAAGGAACATTTGGTGGGTTGAATACTTGTTAATTTATTTCTCTGTTTGTTAATGGGCCCGACACACGCGCATGCTCGTGGGCACGCATGTGCGTGTATGCACGTGCGCGCACGCACAGACACACACACACACACACAACCGGCGTCAGCAGGAGATGGTGCCAGGCTGCCCGAAGTTGCCTGCCAGCCCCCACCAAGCATCACGTCCAGAGGAAGGCCCTGTATGCGACTGAGGTGAGCCTCTCATTTCCTCATCGGAAAAATGGACTTGGCAAGGAGATGATGACTCGACGTGTCAGAGCAAAGCCTTTGACCTTGGAAGTAGTGTGACGGGACGTGAGAAGCCGTTTTGAGAGCAGCTACAGACAAGCAGGGGTTCCAATACTGGCGGAGAGAGTGACGCTCCACTGGGGGGTTCCTTGGCACCTTAAACGAACCAAGTCCAGACACCGACAGTGGTCATGCTTCCCCTGGGCCCAGATCCATCTCGGAAAATGGTGCCCTCACCAAGCCTGTCACTCCGGCCAAACGGACAGCCCACCCCAGGGCCAACTCCATGTCTCCCCCTCCCATCCATCTCTCACCATCCACCAACCCCCACCCCTGGCCATGACCCCAGTGCTCTCCTCCAGACTGGCCCTGGCCTCCCCACTGGGCTCCCTGCTTTCCCTGCCACTGACTCTAATCCATTCTCTCCCCACGGTGGCCAGATTTGAAAAGCACAAATCAGATCCTGTCACTCTCCTGCTTAGCGCTCTCCCGAGCTCCCCACTGCACTCTGAATAAAACCTGCTCCTCCGTAGGGCCTCTGAGCCCCCCTCTCCTTTACCCACCCCCACTTCCCCCCCTCCCTCCTTCCCCAACCGCCTGCCAAGCTGTCTTCCTCCTGGTTTTTGAACACACCCAGCTCCTTCCCACCACCCGGCCCTTGCCTAACGGTCCTGCCCCCCTGGAATGCCATCTCTTCTCAGACTTGAGATCCCAGCTGCACTGACACCTCTTCAGCGAGGCCCGCCTGGATGCCTCCTGCTCCAAAGCCACTCAGCCTACCCTAGCCACTCCCTGTATACAGCCCCAGCTGCTCCCCTCTCAATTCCATCACAGTAAGACGTGACCCACATTATTTGTGGCCTGGCTCACTGTCCCTCCCTTGAGAACAGACACCACCTGTGGGCAAAGGCGGCATGTGTACTCTTCCAGGAACTGCTTCCTGGGACTTGAGCAACACTTGGCATCCGGGACAGGGTTTCATACTCATTTGGGAAGGGAGTGAGGGAGTGAATGGATAGTCAGCTCTAGGCCAGAGCGGCTAGTGAGAAGGGGGCCATGACGCTCTGTGCCCAGGGTCTCTGGCGCCCCTCCTCTTTAGCTGAGGAGAGGGAGGGGTTGGAGACAAGCCCTGCAGAGCAGCACCCGTGATCGAGGACCCTTCCTCCAAACATTAGGAAGCAGTTCCAGGGACGGCAAGAGCAGGTGTGCGTTCTGAACCAACCACTCTACACGACTTCCCCGTCCTCTCTCACCTGTTCCCTCTGCTGCCTAACGGGCTAATACAGGACCCTCTTCCCCAGACTGTTGCATGGGGGAATGAGACCGTGCTCTCAGAAATGAGAGGCGAGGGTGACGCTAAGAAGAGCCCCCTCTCTCACAGGGAGGAAGCTGGGAAAGACTGGGGAGTGGCCTGGGTGCCAGAACCCCAACACAGCCTTGTGTGACTCAGACCCCATTATCTGGTCTCTCTGTGGGCCACACCTGGGCTGGGAGTGGGAAATGGAACCCAGGAGGCCTTTCTCCACCGCCAGCACCTTCGAGGTGGTGTTCAGAGTGTGAGCTGGCTTAGCCTCCCTTCCCCAAGTTCAGCACAAAGCGAGGAGGCAGCAGGGAGAGAGCCAGCTGTGGAGAACAGCACGGCCCCCAGCCCTTCCCATGCCAGAGGGAAGGGATCTGGGAAGGAAGCATTTACCCAAGCTGCTGGGTAAACCGAGACCAGTCCGTGTAGAGACTCCCAGAGTGATCCGAGGTGGAGAGGCGGGCAAGCCTGAGTCCTGGGGGGTGCGGGAGGCCGGAGAGGAAGGGCAGGACCACCTAGAGGAGGAGGAGGAACTACTATCTGGCGGGTACCGCCCCTTCCCACCTGGCCAAGGGCGCAGAGCTGGGGGAGAAAGCAGGGCTCCAAAGGTCCTGGTGTAGGTGCTCTAAGGACAGATTTGGGGCCTGCTCACTTCCACTCAACTGTCTGATGGGAGTGGAAGGTCATCACTGAAAGTCCAGAGGCCTGGAGGCAAGGCTGCCCTGGCAGAGACCCTGCTTGGGACCAGCTAATGAGTGATCGTGGCTGCCCGTGGCCAAGGTGCCTTCCGCTTACAGCCGGTGCACATTAAGAATTATTCCTCCTGCGAGCAAACAATTTGTTACAATCTCCATCACACGCTTTTCCCGGCTGGGCGCCCTCCCATACATCCTGGATTAATCCCGGAAGTCACTCCATTCATTTAGGACGTGCCTGAGTGTGCCTCCTCTTTTATTAGGGAAATTTTTCATTGTTTTGAAGCCCTCATAGGTTTTAATTTGGGGCTGAGACTTTAAAGCCTCCCTCAGGGACAGAGACTGGAGTAGGCTTGGGGCTGGAAGGTTCCCTCTGTCCACAGCAGGGGCCGCCGGACTCCATCAGGGAGAGGAGCGTGCTCATCTCTTCTTCAGGAAGCCAGGGATGCCAGACCCCAGTGTTGTGTGACACTAGGACATGCCCACAGCTCTGAGCCTCCCCAAGAGAGACAAAACCAGGGTGTCCTTTTAACTGAGCTCACTCAGAAAAGTCTGTCATCACCTCTAAAACCACAGTGTGGGGCCACTGAAAAGGCACGAAGTCTGGAGTTCAGATTTGAAATGTGAACAGGGACGGGTGAGTCACTAGCCTCTCTGAGACTAGTTTCCAGGGCCCTAGGCCAAGGCTAAGTGCCAGCCCCCTCTCTGGACTGTTGTGTAAGCCCAAGTTCAGAGCAAGTCTGACTCAACCTGGCACATAGTGGGTGCTCAGTAAGGGGGAGCCCCCCAGCTCTGCCATCCTACCAGAGACCCCTCCAGCTCTTAGTCTCTTGACCTTGAGAAGCCAAACTGCCTGGTTGCTTCACCCTGGCTCGACACTGCCCTTGGACTGACCCCACCTCCCGTCAGAGCTTCCCCACAGGCCCATCGGGGGCAGCTGCCACCAGCCCCCTCCCAGGCCTCACCTCAGGCCTTCATCTCCCACCTGAGGCTCTGCAGCCCAGGGAGTCCTGTCTGTGCAGGAACCCTAAGCTGAATCCCCACCCCTCCCCACAGGCTCCATGCCAAGCTCCTTGCTGGGATCTAGGCTTCGAGTTTGCTGTCCCCTTATGTCAGGAGACAGCTGTCCCACTCCCAACTCCCCTACCCCCACCAGGGTTCCAGGACCAGGACCTCTCTGGGCTTTGACCTATACACCCACCCGTCCCCTACCCTCCCACTGCCTGCTTTTAGGAACTCACAACCTACCCTGTGTTTGGTCTTTGCTCACACTATCCCCTACCAGGTGCTCCACCTGCTTCCCAAATCATCCTGAACGTTAAGGTCTGACCTTCCTCTAGGAAGCCCTCCCTGACTTCTCCAGCTCCCATCTCCCTTTCCTGAGGCTCAGAGCCTATCTCCTCAGGCACTCTAACTACACATTGCTACCTAAAAGCAGGGACAGTGTCACCTATTCACTTTGTGGCCACCAAGTCCAGGCAGAGCCCACCGGGTTCTCAGAAAGAATGGGCTCATTAAATGATTCGGGGGAAGGGCACAGAGGAGTCCCACAGATGAAGTACACAAACGTGAGAGGGTATTGTTCTGCCTGTTATGCAGAGGTTAAGAGAGGTGAAGCACTTGTCCAAGAGGCGGGGCTGGGATGTCCACAGATCCACATTCCACGTACATGGCCCCGTCACCCCTCCACTGCATACACGCCATCCTCCCCACCTCAGCTCCACTGTTCTGCTCCTGGTGCTACCCAGGAAGAAACGGAGGCTCAGAGAGGCGTGTCATGTGCTCAAGAACACACAGGTGATCAGCCCCAGGGGCCCACCCTCTCCCCAGCTGCCAGGTGGCCCCCTCCCAGGCCCCAACCAGAACAGCATACTCTCCCAATAACTGGCCCAGCCCCAGGGCTCCACAGAGCGCCTGCATGGTCGGATGGCCTTTCTGAGGGGCCCAGCTCTCACAGTGCTGGGTGTGTACACAGACAGCCTCACTGCGGTGGCTTCCAGAAAGTAGGACATTCTGCGGGAGGGGGTGGCCGGTGTGGGCTGAAAACACTCCCGCCACCCTCCACGCCGCCTGGACAGCGGAGCCATCCATGGCAGGTCTCTTCAAATGACCTTGGCAACTTCTAGGCCTAGACCCTCCAGGGCTGGGGTAAAGGCCTGACCCGCCCACTGAGGGGAGGGTTTTGGCTAATGTATTCCCTCCCCTCCCCACCCCACCAGCTCCTTTCTGCTCAGTGACCTGGAAGGCCTCCGTGGTCAGGGGAAAACAAGCCCCTTTGAGCAAGAACTCCTCTCCACGTCGAGGGGTCCCCTCACTTGACTGAGCCTCTGCTTCCCCATCTGTGAGTAGGGTTTGGACAGGAGCTGCCTCTAATATCCAAGGCACTCGGGAAAGCGAGGCTGCCTGTCTCCGGCAGGATCTGAGGGTGCTCCCTTCCCGGGACACCTAGCAGATACTCAGCCCCTACCAGGCTAGCTGTGGCCTCCCAGGAAGCCGGCTGGGGGTGCTGGGGTGGGGGGGCCAGGCTGCAGGGCAGGTAGACGCACCCCACCACGCAGCAACAAAGTCATCCCGGGACATCACCAGGAGAGCCGGGGGCAGGGGAACCTGCCATCTCACTAGCCCCACCATCTGGCTGGCCCCCGGGCACTAGGTCCAGGCCGCATCCACTGTTCCAGAGGCCCACCCCGCCTCCTCCCAGGTCCATCGGGGCATGAGGGCGAGAGCCCAGGGTCCCTTGAGGAAGACAGGTCCTAGCAGAGGGCGCTGGTGCATTCAGCTCAGCCTGGGGCAGAGGGGCTTAAAGGCTGAGGGGGCTCGTGTGGAGACAGTTCCCCCTCTCTGCCCTCCCCGCACCAACCCCCATCCCACAGAGCCACTGTTCCCAAGGCTGGGGCGTCTTCAGCATCCCCCCTCCACATTTTCTCTGGCAGCTCAGGCTCCACCCGCCTCTCCAAACCCAGCTCAAGCCCTTTTCTTACTCAGAAGAGCCTCTTGATTGAAAAGGCCTCCAAGGCATCTCACAAATAAGAATCCTTTAATTGGGAAGTTGTTCACTTCTCAAAGAGGAATTTTAATTTGGCTTCCCCACCATCTTCTCTGCCCGAAACCTGGGGACTAAACACCAAGGCTAACCAAACCAAGCACCTTAGCACCCCTTCCATGCCCGCAGAGCACCCCAGAGGCAGAGGTAGGAGTGGCAGCGGCCACCCCCACCCCCCGCATGGACCCCCAGAACCCTCCACCCATGACTGTCGAAAGGTCTCGAGCCTCCCCCTTTGGGTCCACCTGCCCCACGTCCCTCTCAGCACCCCACACTCAGAACTCGGGGTGAGCAGGCTGGCAGGGCAAACCCCAGGGCCCCAACTGCTGGGTTCCCAGAGCCCAACGCTCCCTGCATAACCGCTCGTAAACCCCTCTACCACCTTCCATCACGCTGGCCTGTAGCTGGTGACTTAGAATGGTGTTTACTGAGTATTTACTATGGGCCGGACCCTGCTCTAAGCCCTTACGTGCACCAGCCTACTTAATCCACACAAGGTGAATGCTGTTATTACTCCCGATTTGCCGATGAAAACACTAAGGCCCAGAAAGCTAAAGTGAACAGCGTGAACTCATACCTTTAGCAGGAGGCCGAGTTTGAACTGGATCCCAGGTGGGCTGACTCCAGAGGGGCCCATAATCTTCACCCCCACCATCCCTGCTCACCCATGGCCTGTGAGCTCCTTGAGGGCCTGAATCGTAACCCTCTCATCTCTGTGTCCTTGGGAGAGCATAGGGCCTAGCAAAGAGCCACAGTTAATAAAACACCCACAGAGTCAACAAATGAAAAGGAACAAAAGCAAAGCGCCTTCCTATTCATTCTCTCCCTAGCTAGAAGCAGTGGGGAGGGGGGGGCAGGCAGGTAGACTGAGCTCCCCCCGCAGAGAAAGCAACTGCCCCAGGTCACCCATCCGGGGGACGCAGAGGCCAAGGACTTCTTCCCAGCCTGACTCTGTGTACCTGCCTTCCATGAAGCGTGTCCAAGGACTGGCTTGTTGGGGGCACACCCTGGGAATTACGTTCCCGGGTCCCTGTTAACACCCTGAGCTGAAGCAAACCTCCTCCGAGTAGTCCTGGTTCCAGTGCTGATGTAGAAATCCCTCTTGGGGATTGGAGCAACCTTGACACTCCCCTTGCTTACCTCATGGCATGAGATGTTCACCACCACCAAAGCGGCCTGAGCCACCATGGTCATTGCTGCGGAAATCCCAGGCCATCTGCGCGCTGTTATGAGTTGAATTGTGTCCCCCCACCCTCCGCCGCCAATAGACATGTTGAACTTCTAAACCTCAGGGCCTCAGAGTGTGAGCTTATCGGGAAACTGGGTTACTGCAGGTGTAATTAATTAATTAGGGTGAGCTAATAGTCGAGCAGGGCACTTAATCTCATATAGCTTTATGCCCTTAAAAGAAAGGGAGATTTGGACAAGACATAGAAGGAAGATGATATGGCCAGACACAGGAAAGACAGCCATCTACAATCCACAGATGGGTCCTTCCCGTCCAGTCCCGTCGACACCATGTCTCCTGACTTCCAGCCTCCAGAGCTGGGAGACAGCACATTTCTGCGTAACCCCCCAACGTGTGGTGCTTTGTACACCAGACCCAGCAACTGCGACAGCCACATACCCGGGTTTTCATGCTGACTCAGGCCTGCAGCAGCCGTGCGGCTCTGGACGGGCCCCGCCTTCCCTAAACCCTGGCCTGTTCCCAACATCCCCAGCACAGCGCTGGGCACCCAGCAGGGCCCCCATGAGCCTGCAAGAATGGACGGGATCCCAGCATCTACCCTCCACTCGGCTGCAATAAGGAGGAGATGAGGAATGGGCCGTGCTCTTGAAACACCCTGGTGCTGACTAGGGCAGCAGAGATGCCCAGAGGGCCAAGCGTGTGGCTGCGACCACAGTCTGAACGTAGTGGGAGCTGCTCCAGGCAGGCAGGTGTAGCTGGGGGTGAGTCCTCCCTCAGGCCACAGATATCACCCGAGTCCCCATGCTTTACCAAGACCCCTTGCCCACCGCAAGTAGGAAAGCAGAGCTCCTGGGTGCCCAACATGGCCCCCGGCCCATTGGAGCCAATTGAGACCCACCCACGGAGGCTTCCAGGAAGCAGGTTCAGCTGAGTCAGCACAAGGAGGAGCTGGGTCCACAGCAGCGCTGCCTCCGACGCCCGGGCTGGCCTGGAGAGAGTGAGGTCCCCATCCTGGCGAGAGTGGAAGGAGAGGTCAGAGGCCAAGCTCCCAGGGACCTCGGCACTCCCCTCAGCATGAGTCTGGGCTGGCCTGGCACAGTCCCAGCCAGCTGACCCTCAGAAGTGACGATGGGGCTCGTCAACCATCCAGATTCCTGGGTTCCCCTGGTGACTCTGGATCAGAGGTCCTGATGGGCCCCTGACACAGAGCCAGGCTTGGGCCCCCGGCCCAGAGAGCTCCAGGGCTTGAGCCTGATTCCATTTGGCAAGAGCTTGGATAATGGGGCAGGGGACGGGGCCAGCACTGGGGCAGGGGACTGAGGCAGGAGATGGTGAACAGGGCAAAGATAAAGACAAGGTGAGCAATGATGGGGTAGCACCCTACAGAAAAGGTACAGCCATTCAAAGGGGCCAAAGTGTACCCACTTTGAGTGGGGGAGGCGTTCTGGAAGAGGTGGGATTTGGCTGGTGGAGAGAAAAGCTTTCAGGAGAGAGGTCATGGAAGGTGAGACCGAGCCTGCTGTGGGTGGGGATGGGAAACAAGAGTCCCCTGCTAGAAAGAAGAAGGATAGGAAAGGCCCTGAATGCCCAGGAGGAGGAATTTGGAGCTCCACCTGAGACAGCAAGGAGCCCCTGCGGGCATGTTGTGGAGGAGCCTGGCATGAAGGCAGGCCTGTAGTGACCACCAGGTGGGCTCAGGGGTGGCTGGGCTGCTCCAGACTCCCCGGCTGAGAGAAGCTTGGGCCCAGCATCAGCACTCTGCTCCCTGCCCACAGCAGCCCTGAAGGATGTTACAAAATGGTGGTGCCAACCCTGAGGCCATCGAGGAGGAGCAGCAGGGAAGGTCGCTGGCGGCATTCCCTCTAGGCTGGTCATTCCAGAGAGCTCGTCCGTCCGCAAGGCTGGAGTAACAGGCACCTCCAAGGGCTGGAACCCCCCATGGGCTGAGAGCTGGTCCAGCCCCAGAAGCTTTAAAACACCCCATCCCGGTTGCCCCGACTCCCTCCAGCACTCGCCCAGCCCCAGCCCCTGCCTCTGCTGCAGCCTCAGAGACCCGAGGCCTGCCCAGACCCGCCCAGCCCTGAGGATGCTGTCTTCTCCAGGGCACCACCTCCAGGCAGCCCTCTTCCAACTATTCCTCAGCTCCGCCCCCGCCCCCCCCCCACCGTCAGTCAGAGGCTGCTCCACCCACCCTGTTCTCTGGCTCTGATCTCCCCTGGCCGGAAGCCCATCCTCAGGCTGTCACAGCCAGCCACACCTCCCCGCGGAGGCCTGGCCAGCCATCTCTCTCTGGATGGAGGCTGGGACCTCCTAACCACCAAGCAGCCTCTACTCTTCCCCCTCCACCCCCATAGCCTTGTCCCCATGAGCCAGTGAGCCGGTAGCCCCTGAGCCACAAATCACCTCCATCCATCCTAACTCAAGGCCCTGCACAGCCCTATTTCCTGGCCCCTCTTCCCCACCGGCTGCTCCCAGCTCAAGGCCTGTCCCCTCCCCTCAGGTCTCTCCCCTGCAAGGGCACCTCACCTAAGATGCCTTTTCCTGACCAGCCTGCAGAGAATGGCTTCCCCTGCTCGTCCACTCCCTTTTCCCACCTTATTTTTCTCCATGGCACTTATTACTCCCTAAGCTTATACGATGAATTTACTTAATCTGGGTTGTTGTTTTTCTTTTTCTGTCTAGTCTGGAGTACTGAGGATGGGCCCGGAGCTCAGAAAAGCCTCCTGAAAGTGACACCACACTCCCAGTCTCCGTCCCTGGCTCTCCACTTCCCGCCAAGGGGATGAAGGAAGGCTCTGATCTGGGAGTGGGTAAATGCTCCAAGGTGGAGACCCCAGCGGGGTTCGCCAGACAGAGAGGCTTGAGTTTAATGTTCCAGAGCCCATCAGTGAGCGAGAAGTCAAGGGCTGCAGCCCCTGGGCCCCTAAGCCTTGCCTGTCCTTCCCCCACCCTGCCATCCTGCCCCCTCCCCTCCAACCACAGGAGCACCAGTGGACTGGGCAGGGGAGCTGGCACAGGAGGCGAGGAGGGAGCAAAGCAAACCCTGGCTTCCTCCAGCTGTTCAGAGCTTTGCTGGGTCAGGTCTCAGCACCCCCTGCCCTAGCACCCCTCAGAGGCCCTCTGGGACCAGCCCTGCACCCTCCTAGGTAAGGCACCCACCTAACCCTCCAAAGCCCCCTGCTTCTACACCTTTGCTCCGCCTGGGCCCTCCCCCTCCCCCAAACCATCAGAACCCCACATACGTCTTCCCACTCGAGCAGGTCCTATTTATAATGACACACGGTTGGAAGTCATCAAAATATGTAACAGAGAATTGTTACCCATGCTGCAGTACACACAGGCTGGAACATTATGCTGCCATTAAAAATCGCATTACAGAAGAGTATTTCATGATGGGAAAACTATCTTGGTATAGTATGAAGAACAAAAGGCAGGTTAGAACACAGTAAGTATAGTCTGATCCCAATTATGTCATAAATACATATTTGGTAAAAGACTGATGGGCAAAACACCCAAATGCTCATGTTTTCTATAGAGAATGTGTGCTGTTTTGTTTTTGTTTTTGTTTTTTTTAAATAATCAGAAACATAGAGCATTTTAAAAGAATCCGTTAGCCTTCATGGTTCAGCCCAGGCATCCATTCCTCCAAGCCCCCCCCAGCCCCAGTGAGGGAGCAGCCTACGCCCAGCATTAGTTCCCCAGTCTATCTCTGTCTGCCCAGCTTCCTGCTGTCTGGGGCTGTCCCCCTGGGTAGCGGGGAGGACACGGTGGCCCCTGACAAGGCTGGGGACAGGGCCCAGCCTCCCTGCCTCCCTGATGCCCCTGCGCACAGCCCTCCCATTGCCCTTGGCGGCCTTGAAAATAACCCTGAACATATCCCCTCTCCCTGTCTCCCAGCAGCAATTACAGGTTAAACCAGAGGGGCTAATTAGCTGCTCGATCCATCCAGAACTGACTGATTAGCAGGAATATTTCAATAGAGAAAACTGGACTTCAAAGCGAGGCTTAGAGTTCGGAAGGAAATCCAGCCTTCGGCTCCCTGCCACACCCACCAGCTTCCTGGGTGGGAGGTGGGCATTGGCTAAGCCTCAGCAACACCTTCCGGTCACCTAATCCTTCAGGAGAAGTGGTTCAAGGCCCATGGCCCTGCTGAGCCTCTGGGTTTTCTCCCTTTGAAAATAGGGATAACATTCCAGTCTACCCTGCTGCCCCCAGCTGTCCCCTAGCATTCCTTCTCTTTAGTAAAATCCCTCTGCAGCCTTCTGGTGGATCCCAGAAGCCTGTCAAGAACAGCAGATTGGCCCAGATAAAGAGTAGAAGTCACTTGTCCAAGGTCATAAGCAAGCCAGGAGTCAAGTCAGGCAGCACCCCAGGTCCCCTTCCTTCCCCATCTACCATTTCTTCAGGACTCGCCTCACATGGGATGCACTGGGAGGGCCTGTCACCTCCCACATTCTGAATATCCTGTTCCTCGTGATTCGGTCCAAGCCAGCCACTCTGCTCATGCAGAGCCAAGGTCACCTGGCTGCCAGTACTTGTCACATGCACACACCTGAGCCCAAGCCCCCTCCTGCCCTGAAGGCATCTGGATCTGTGCACTGACTCTGGCTGAGAGCTCCAGTAAACTCCACAGGCTAGGGTCTGTGCCAGTGTCACTTGACAGTTTCTTGGGCCCTGACTGGCTCAGTCCACACATTCCTGCTCCCTCCTGAAGTCACGCACACATCTGGTCAACAATGTGACCGAACCAAGGCCAGGTCCCCTCGGTTCGCTATCGGTGACCTCCCACACCACATGGGGACCCATCAGCCAGCGTGTCCATGAAACCATGTTTTCAGAACACCCCAGGCTTGGGATCTCAAGGGCCAACAGAAGGGGGCACTGCCACATCAAACCGCCCGGACTTGGCTTCACATAGGGCGGGAGAGAGGGGGCATCCCCAGAAAGACTGCTCTTCCGTGGCTTCCCTGCAGCCTCCCCCTTGGGGACCCCACACCTTCCTCCATGGCTGCTGCCACCCCCACTCTGCCCTGCGCCCCACAGTGGCCTCTTACCTCAGGTCAGGCGGGCGTTTGGGAAATGCAAGTGGGCTGGGGTCAGCCTGGGATTGACTCAGTAGCCCTCTTTGCCTGTAGGCAGCGGAGCCTCACGGCCTGTGGGCACAGGAGGCTGTGGGAGAAAGAGGAGATGATCTGTCAGCCAGAGCCAGGCCACGGGGGGGCAACTCTAGGGAGTGGGGCCCGGGGAGGGGGCCCAGGCACACAAATAGGTTTGATTGCACCTGGATGGGCAATAAACACACACACACACACGCACACACACTCTCTCTCTCTTTCTCTCTCTCTCACATGCCACCAGCTAGGGCACGTGAGGCCCCGGGAAGGGTGGGGTTTCTGGCCCCAAGTTGGGGGTGGGGTTCTGAATACGATTCCCCACCCACTGGCTCTATGACCTTGGGACAATCAGATCTCTGAGCCTCACTTCCCTTCTCTGTAAAATGAGGATACTGGTGTTCTTGCCTGGTCCACTGGGAAGATAAAGGAGAGAAGGGGTCCCCTGCCTGGCACTCAGTGGTATCCAGCCAGCACCTGGCCCAGGAGGCAGGCCTGAGGGCTGGCCCTAGAGAGGGGTGCAGGCAGAGCACCCCCGGGGGGGGTCTCTTCTGGAGACTGAGCTTCCTGGTTCCCAGGGACCCACCCACCCACCCTTTCCTTCCCCACCTCTCCTGATTTATTCCTTCACCATACAGTCTCCAAGGGCAATTCCCATGAGTGGGGGGTGGTCCTGGGGGGCTCCGTCTCCTTGGCAAGGCCCCCAGACACAGGCCTCGGGCTGGAAGTTCAAGGAGGCAGCTCTCGGGCATGCCAGCTGTGCGGCCCAGGCCAAGCTCCCTCCTGAGCCCTGGTTTCCTCCACTTCTCAGATGAAGGCCCGAGCCCCTTCCAGAGCCATTGCCAAGAGGTGCCCATCTGATCAGTGCTTCTCAAAGTGTGTGCAGGCCCAAGGGGAGTCTAGGTGGTACGCAGACAAATGCTTTTATTTTCACAGATATGTGTTTATTCTTCCGTGTATCAAAAATAACAATAATATTAGCAATACATCACAGCAGTGACTTCACGGACGTGTGGCTTGGGGAGCGCTGAGAAACCCACCTTCAAATGTGAGTCAACAAAAAGGCAAGGATTAGGAAAACATGAGTACAAGTGGCCTCCAGTGGGGGCTCAAGCCCGAGACGGTGGGAAGGAGAGGCATAGAGCGGGCCTCTCACCTGGCCTGGTTTCCAGCTGCCCTCCCCAAGGGTCAGTAGCTCCCTGCCTTCCTGGAGGGCCAGGCTGACCCCTCATTCCCCTCTTGGTTCCCCACCTGACACCGTCCAGCACAGGCCTAGGTCCCTAGGAGGACTCACGAGGCCTTCCAGATGGGATGAATGGAAGGAAGCTTGGGTTGATGGGGTGCAAAGATGGCTGCCATCATGTGGGCAGAAGATGGCAAAGGCCTCTGGGTCCCTCCCAAGATCAATATTCTGTCGAGTCCAAGACGTGAATGGTGGAATTTCTCACCTACATAGAAGGTTAAGATGGAGGGACTCTTGGGAGGCCAGAGTCTTCTTGTTTTGTGGGCTGCCAATCTCTCGAAGAATGAGGCAGGGAAATGGGCACTGAGCAAGTTTCTGGGCCCACTGTGGCTTTCCTGACCTGACAACAGAGTAGATCCCATAACACGGGACTAGCTTAGCCCCACAGTTAGCGAGCCCCAAACTCCACCCCGGGCTGCCAGCAAGCCCCAGCCCTGCCTTCCAAAGGCGGCTGTTCCTAAAGGACAAGATAGGACATAGGGGTGCCAGCCTGGGACAATCAGATTGGTAACCAGAGCCTGGCCAGTCGCTCAGGCCTGAGTCCTCCAAGCCAGCCCTAGCCAGGCAGGGGTGCCCCCGGTGGCTGCCCAAGCTGGCTCCAGGTAGACTGGCACAAGCCAGCCAGCCCCAAGCCAACCCAGGCAGCCCGGCTCCTGGCAGGCCTCCAGACCACCTGGCTGGCGGCCCTGAGCCCAGTTCCCCCTGAGCCTAGCAGGGCAAGCCATTCCCACAGCACCACCCCAAGCCCCCAGCTGCCATGTTCCAAGATAATGAATGGGCCTCCGGCTTCCTTCTCCCCAAACCTTCCTGAAGCTCCCACTCTCCTCAGCGGCATCACAAGGAGTTGCTATGGCAATGGGACCACAGGCAGAGCATGACAATGATTTGGGGCAGGGAGACGCAGTGGGAGCCAGGAGCTCCCCTGGACCCAGGATGGCTTATGTGCAGAGTTCCACAAGGGACAAGAGATCCCGGCTGCCGGCCTCACAGCCAAGGTGGGGAAGGAGACCACCACAGAGCGGGGAGCTTCCCCCCTGCCCTCCCGGCTCCCTGCCCGTCCAGGGGAGCCCAGGGAGCTGCAGGAACCAGAGGCCTATGTGTTCAACAGGACTGCGATGTGCCCTGGGGACATGAGAACTCCACAGAAAGCCCCACTCCAGGGTGCTGCCACAGGGGGTTCCGTGCTGTGGAGTGGCGCCCAGCAGGTGCTGAGCAAACACCACCATCGAAGAGGACGGTCCAGGGGTTGGAGGGCGCAGGGGATGGGGAGAGAGACCGAGAGACACAGGCCTGAGCCTGCTCTGGTCAACACAGTCTCGGGACCACAGAGCTGGAGGCGACCCACACCCACCGAGCAGATGCCCAGACTGAGGGTCAGGGTCACCCAGCCTGTCAGCAGGAAAGTCAAGCCCAGAACCCATGTCTCTTCTTCCCCAGACCTGAACCCTTTACCCAACTCCCCCAGCTCCCCATCCATGAATCCCTCCATTTATCCGTCCATTCATTCATTCACTCATTCATTCATTCTAGTCTTGGTAAGGGCCTATTTTGTGTTGGTGATTGGGATAAAGAGACGTAAAGGACACCGCTGCTACCTGCCAGGACCTCAGAGAGGAGACAGGCCATCATGAACAGAAGGAAGGTGCTGGGACAGAAGTCTAGAGGGACGCGGGGGAGCCCAGGGAAGGTCCCCTCAGAGACTTCAGTGCCCCACTTCTGAGCCATGCTTCAAAGAGACTCCGGGTCTCCCTGACTCGTCTCCCAGCTGCTCCTTCAGCCCAGAGCCTCCCGACGGCCCCATACAGAGATCTCCAGGGCGAGGCAACACTGAGCCCACCTGGAGCCCTCAACACCCAGAGGTGTTCCCCATGAGCACCCAGTCCCTAGGAATAAGGACTCATGAGGATAGTGCCTTGCTACACAGAAGGAGATCCCAGAATGCCATGCCTGCCTGCCTTCCCCCTCTGCCTCCCCCAGGCTCAGCAGCTTCCTACCTTGTTCCTGCCTTCCCTGGCACTTCCCTCAAGCCAGGCCTTGCACAGGGCCTGGGGCCCTGCCCTGAGCAGAGAACAAGTGAGCCCTAGCCATCGGTCACTGCCTTTGTGGAACTAAGTCCCAGTTTCTCTGTCAGCAACAGGAAAGTTCCCTCCCGTGGTGTTTGGTTTTTTGGTGGGGGAGGCTAGTACTGAAAGAGCAGGAGGGAACACCTTCCAGAGCTGTATCCTACACGGGCCACGCCTCTCAGCAGCTGGTACAGACCCCCAGGACCTATTCTAGCCAAGTGGAAACCGAGATCCCAAGAGGTGAAGCCAGGTCGTGCAGCGATGAGAGGGCAAGATGGGGAATGACGAGTGAGGACAAAGAGAGGCTGGGTCTGGGACCTTGGAAGTGACAAAAAGAACTATCTAAGAAGGCTCCCCAGGGGAAGGGAGACTTAGTTTGGCTCAGAGACTACCCTAAGGCTCCCAGCAGGAAACGAGTGTCTCTGAAAAAACAAAACAAAACAAAACAAAACAAAACAAAAAAACTGGCCCATAGCCTGCCCCATCAGCCCACAAGACTTGGGGCTAGGCTAGGGGGGCTAGGCACGTTCTCCACCAACCCCGCCAGCCTCGCAAATCCACTGAGGACTGCCACAACGGCCATCACCTGTCCCTAATTACAGCTGTCCTACGGGAAACCAGCTAGGGGTAGAAAAACAGCAGAGACATAGAAAGGAGGGGGCGAGCACATGAGAGACAGAGGCCCAAAGAGATACAGAGTGACCACGACTCCAAAGCCAGACAGACGGAGGGAAAGGCAGTGACAGAAAAGAAAGGACAGACGCGCCGTCCCTCCCTCCCCCAGAGCCAGGGCTGCAGCTGGCAGGAGAAGCCTGCAAACTGGAGCTTTGCAAAGATTTTTCAGCAATAAAATTCTTATTTGAAATGAAATCTTATGCAGTGGGGGAAGGCTTTCTATGCCAGACATTAAATCCAGAAGCCATAAAGTGAAAATTTGATAAATCCAAGTATATAAACACGTAAAACATCTGTGCGTCAAGAGACACTATAAGCAAGCTAAAAGGCAAGTGAGACACTGGAAGGAAACATCACTAATATATAAAGAGCCGCTACAAATCAATAAGAAAAAAGACAAAAGAAGAGAAAATTGGCAGTGAATTAGAAATCCACAGAGGAAGAACTCAATTGGCCAATAAATGTATGAAAAGATGTTCTATCTCACTAGCAATCAGGGAAATGCAAATGAAAATGACATGATACCATTTTTTGCCCATCAGATTGGGAAAAATTAAAATGATTGATAACAACAAGTGCTGGCAAGGATGTAGGGAAATGAGCACTCATAGGCCATTGGAGAGAGGGGGAATTGGCTCAACCTTTGGAAGGGTAATTTGGCAATGTCAGAAAACGCTTTAAACCCACACACCCCATAAGCCAGTAATCCCACTTCTAGGAGCTTCTCCTATAGAAACCATAGGAGAGACACTCACTTATAAATATTCAAGGATGCTCACAGAGCATCGCTGGTAAGAGTAAACAAGAAATTAGAAATTACCTCGGTACTTATCAATAAAGGAATGTTCATATAAAATCCAGCACATCTCTACTCTGGCATAGTCTGCAGCCATTTGACAGAAAGAGGCATATCTATGTATAACAATATGAAAAAAACCAAGCTGTACCATGCTATTTCAGAATGAGCCTATTTTTATAAATAGCAATTTGTTGGTATATGGCCCAAAAGGCTGGAGGACAATACCCAGATGTTACAGCGAACACCTCTTAGGAGGGGACGAAGGAGCTGCCACGGAT